AAGACCTTATCATACTTCATCAGCTCTCATACCTAGGAAAAAGTTATACAATGAATGATACTTATTTGGAACTTTCATAGAATTTCACATTAAAGAAAAAGTGAAAAATCTAAATGATTTTCTTCCTGAAGAGGTCCTTTCACATCCCCCAACGCTGGCCTCTTCCCCTGCCCTATGTGGGAAGGAGGAGAATGGATGAGCTAGTAAATCTTACCTGCTTTTATATCTTGATACCTTCTCCAAAATGGCCCACATCCTAGCTAACAAAGCATGCTTATATAAATGCAAAAGAATTAAGATGTTACCATATTATCAAGTGCAATGGAAATAGAAATCAATAGAAAATGAAGCCATAGAAACTATGCAAATGTATGACAATTGAACAGCACACTCTTGAATAGTCTGTGGGTCACAGAAAAAAATTAAGGAAGAAATAAGACAGTTCCTAGAATTAAATAATGATGCCAGTACAAAATATCAAACCTAATTAAAGCACTCTCATGAGGGAAGTTTATAGCCAAGAATGCTCGCATCAAAAAAATAGAATGAGCCCAAATAAAGAACCTAATGATACACTTCAAAGCATTAGAAAAGAAAGCAAATGCAGACTTAGTACAAGGAATGAAATAAAGGTAAGAGCAAAGATCAATGAAATGGAGAGTTAAAAATTGGTATAAAGAATCAGTGTTTCAAAGAGCTGATTCTTTGCAAGAATAAACAAAACAGACAAACCTTTAGTCAATCTGATCTTTAAAAAAGTAAATAAAAAAGAAGAAAAAAATCAATGCTATCAGAAATAGAAAGGTGAAATTGCAGTGGACACTGCCTGACTTGGTTAAAGGAGGAAAGGTTTATTGTAGCTCACAGTGTGTAGAGCTTTCAATTCAAAATTGGTTAGTTCCAAGGCAGAGTAGCAGGACAGAAGGGAAATGATTCATGGCAGGCAGAAGGCAAAAAGGCAGCAAGCGGATAAGCAGCAAGCCATGACAGCAGCAGCCCTCCTTCTTCCCCTTATGTGCCATCCAGGCTACCCACTCTTAGGGAGGGATAATACTCAGACCCAGAGTGGGGCACTTTTCATCCCAGCATTGCACCGTGAGTCAGTTCCAGCATCACCACTCTAACTCCAGTTACTCTGAAAAGTCCTACCTATGATTACATGAGCTTTTGGGGGAACATCTTGATAAAACTAGATGTTGAACAGTTTTTCATGTTTATTTGCTGTCATAAAAGTGTCAAAATCCAGAAAATTATTAGCAACTACTTCACAAACCTACATGCCAAAGAATTGGAAAACTCAGAAGAAATGAAGATTTTCATGGATATACATGAATTACCAAAACTCAACTAAGAAGACTTAAAAATCTTGAATAAACCAATAACAGGCAATACAATTAAAGCAGTAATAAAAAGCTAACCAACTAATAAAAGCTAAGGACCTGGTGAATTGACTGCTGAATTCTAAAAGAATTTCATGGAATACATAACTTTAATATTTCTCAAACTTTTGAATGAAATCAAGAGAGAAGCAGTACTCTCAAAATCATTGCTGAAAGCCGGCATTATTCTGATCTCAAAATCAGAAAAGGATACAACCAAAAAAGAAAACTATAACCCAATCTCTGTAATTGATATAGATACAAAAATCCTTAACAAGATCCTGGCAACTAGAATGTAACAAATCATCAAAAAGAGTATATACCATGATCGATTATGTTTCATCACAAGGATAGAAGGATGCCTTATGAAATCAATAAATGAAATTCATTAGAGACAAAGAGAAAAATAAATATGATCATCTCAATAGACCCAGAAAATGTCTTAGACAAAATTCAACACCTTCTCATAATAAAAAAAAGAAAATTGAAGAAAATAGATGTAGAAGAGCCTTTACTCAATCTGATAAAAGCCATTTATAACAAACCAATGCCCAACAACATACAAATGAGTAAAACTGAAAGCTTTCCAAGTCAGAGACAAGATAACGATTTCTGCTATTACTACTCCTGTTCAACACGATCCTCAAAACACTAACCAGAACAATCAGGTAAGAGAAAGAAAAAAAAAATTATAGGAAGGGGCAAAGTCAAATTATCTCTATTGATGTAGATGACATTAACCTCTACTTACAAAGCCCAAAAAGCTTCACCAAAGACTCCTAGAAGTAACAACCAAATTCAGCACTGTAGCAGGATATATAATAAACGCACAGAAATGAATAGTGTTCCTTTACAATAATAATGAACTCACCAAGAAAGAAATTACGAAAACAACACTATTAACAATAATATCAAGAAAACTTAAATACTTAGGAATTAACCTAACCAAGGAAGTGAAAGACTTTGACAAGAAAAAATGAAAAGAAAAAGGACATCAGAATGTGGAAAGATACCCCTGTTCTTGCATAGGCAGAACTAAGATTGTAAAAGAGGCATGCTTCCAAAATTGATATACAATTTTAATGTATTCACAGTCAAAATATCAACAGCATTTCTCACAAAACTAGAGAAAATAATGTTAATATTTATTTGGAACTATAAAATACTCAGAATAGCAAAAGCAATCCTGGGTAATGAAAACAAAGCAGTCAGGTGTCACAATCCGGGGTTCAAAGTTATATTACAAAGTCCTTGTGACAGCATGGTACTGGCATAGAAAGAGGCATGTGGATCAATTGAATAGAAATAGGAGGCAGCAATAACCCCAGGAACATTCAGCTATTTGATCTTTGACAAAAAGGTCTAAGACAAACACTGGAGGCAAGATAGCCTGTTTAATAAATAGTGCTGGGAAAATGCTATCTACATGTAGGCAATTGAATCTAGATTTACGTATCTCACCATGTACTAAACCAAAATAGAAAGGATCAAAGATGTGATGAATGACAAAATAGATAAAATTCTTGAAGACATAGGCATAGGTAAGGACTTCCTAAACAGATTCTCAATAGCATAAGAAATAATACTGAGAATCAACCAATAGGATCATATCAAATTTAAAAACTTCTTCACAGCAAAAAAACAAACCAACATGGGAAACAGACAACCTACACAATGGGAAAACTTTTGCAAGCTGTTCCTTAGACAGAAGACTTACATCTAGGATATATAATGAACTCAAAAAAATAACACTTTCCCAAATAAAGGACCCAACGAAAAAATGGAAAAACAAAATGAATAGACATTTTAAAGAAGTACAAAAGACCAATAAATACATGAAAAAATGTCCAAAATTACACTGAGATATCATCTTACTAAAACAAGGAAGTCTATTATCAAGAAATGTAATTATAATCCTGGTGAGAATTTGGAGAAAAAGGAACTCTTCCACATTGATGATAGCAATGTAAGCTAGTACAAGCACCATGGAAATCATTGTGAAGAGTCCTTAAATAAATGAAAATAGAAATTCCATTCAATCCAACTAGACCCTGTCTAGATATCTTTCCAAAAGAGTTAAAAGACATTATATGCCAGACATAAATGAACACCACGTTTATAGTAGCACAGTTTATAATGCCTAGATCTTGAAAAACAGTGTACATATCTAGCAACAGACGAAGGGGTTAAGATAATACAGTATTTATACATAATGGAGTACTACTCTGCCATAAAAAGATAGACTTGTGGTTTTCTTAGACAAATGGATATAATTTGAGAACAGAATATTAAGTGAGATGAATCCCACATGCAAACCTGCATATTGCATGGCTTCTCTTCTAAGAGAACTGAGACAATGGAAGTTCAAAGAATTTCCCAAATGATTTATTCCATTGTTGCAAAAAAGTTTAAGACATATACTACTTTGCTTCATTAATACTAATACTTTTTCTTTGTTCATCGAAAAGAACATTTTTCCTTTGTTTTTTCTTTGTAAGAGAAAGTGTTTTTTTCTTTGACTTGTATGGAGTAACATTTGGCCATTCTTTTAAATTATGACACACAATCTTTTTACTTTTGTTATCCCCTAATTATTTTGTTTGAATTTTTTTTATCGAAACAAAAGTCTTTTGTAACTTATTATTATGTACCTATTATCTACCTGTACTACTTATTATTATCTACCTGTATTACTTTTGAGCTAACTCAAAACGGATCAATTACCCTTAATGTTAGACTTAAAACTATAAAACTTGTGGAAGAAAACCTAGCATTAAATCTTTATGACCTAGGGTTAGATGAGATCGTGTTTCATGATTATATATATATATATATATATATATATATGTATATATATATATGTATATATATGTATATGTATATATATATCACAAACAACAAAAGTAAAAAAACTTGCTCTTCATTAAAATAAGAAAAATAAATAAGTGAATGAATTTTTTTTTTCTTGAATAGGCATTTAGAATTCACCCTGTTGTTAGTTAACTTTCACATCTCCAAACTATAAACTGAACTGAATTATCCAAAACGTACGTGTTGAAGCCCTGTCTCATGACTAATGTGCCCATAGGTGAAGACTGGGGCTAGTCAAAGTTAAGTGGAATCATTCAGGTGGTCTTAATCCAGTAGTATAAGTGACTTTATAAGAAGAGAATAAAGACAGAGTGAAAAGGCAGCTATCTGGGAGCCAGGAAGAGGGAACTCACTAGAACTCAACTTTATCAACATTTTCAACTGAGACTTCCAGCTTTGAGAACTAGGAGAAACAAATTTCTGTTACTTCGACACTTGGTGAGGTGTTTCAAGCAGACTAATGCACAATATAACACACAGGCACCTCCCGGAAGACAGTTAGGTCCTTTTTAGATGAAGAGTATGAGACTCTGAGTTCATTAGAGCAGTATGAGGCGGGCACTGAGAAGCAGAGGTCCTCACTCTGAAGTAGCCAGAAAGCAGAGAGAAAGCAAAAGAACAATAGAACACCACACTGGAGACCAAATGTATCTCCCAGATCACGTGACCCTAATCTCCTCATTTCAAGCAGACCCCACCTCCCAGCATCATCAAGCCGCAGGTTAGGGACCTCATGATCCACTCACTTACCAAATGCTTGTCAGAAATCAAGCCTTCAGCACCATGAGGATTTGGAGGGGATATTTTGCTTTCCAATTATAACAGCTACCATAACAAAAATACCACTGATTAGGTGGCCGAATTACAGAAATGTATTTTCAGATAGTTCTAGATGCTAGAAGTCCAAGTGCAAAGTGCAGGAAAAATTTGAAATCTGGTGAAGCTCCCCTCACCAGGTTGAAAACAGCTGTCTTACTACTGTCTTTAGTGATCTCTCTGTGCATGCAGAAGGACACTGCAAAGGGCCGCTGTCATTTCTCCCTCCTCTTACAAGGACATCAGTCTACTGGCTGAGGCCCCACCCTCGTGACTTCACTTAATCTTAACTATCTTCTTAGAGGACCTATTCTAAGTACAGTTCACGGGGTGTGGGGGAGGTAAAGCTTCCACAAATAAATGAATGAGCATCTAGATTCAGCTCCTATCACACAGTAAACAAAGAAATATGAACAAGACACTGATTTTTCTCAAGGACGTTATAATCCAGCAAAAGGTTGGGGAGTGAAAACAAACACTTATTTCTGTGTATAACCTAGTACTTGACCTGGTAGAAATTCTGAAGCAGAATTAAAAATCAGTTATCCCGGATCTACCACAGAGAAACCTAGGGAATTTGATTTGAAATTATGTAAAAAGGCTTTATAAAGGGAATATTAGATAATTCCATGAATACGTGACTCCATAATATTAGGCAGACTTAAATGAAAATAGAATTAAACCTTTGAAAGAAATGAAATAAGAGCTATGGAAAACAATATTTTTTCCTTTTTATTGGTACATTTTAATTATACATAATGATCACATTCATCTTAGGGAGTTTGTACCTGTACATGATGCATCTTGCTCCTTTGTTCCCCATCCCCTCTTCCTCCAAACTCCCTTCCTTTCTTTATTTACAACCCTGAGGGGATCTCCCTTTTGGGGAACTCAGTAACTGGATCTATGTGAAGGTAGCTGCTGCCTTTTGTTTAGATACAGAAGCCTGACTCACAAAGCTTAACAGCAGTGTCTTGTCTAAAAGGAAATAAATATGAACTAAAATAAATAATCATATCTCTGAGGCTGACATATTCTCCCACATACACACATTTTAGAAGCCCTTTGATTCTAATTTATTAACCTGACCAAAAAGACACATTTTTAATTGGTTAATTTCTGCTAATATAGACACACCTATCAACGGTTAGCAAATAAAAGACTTTATTTCATAGTTTATGCTTCCTTATGCACAGAAAATCTCTTGTGACACATTGCTACAGAGAGCCTTCTTTCCAGGATTCCTTAAGCCCAGGGTTTCTCCATTATTGGGTCTCCCTAGACTTGAGGAGCTGCCCAAGTCTAATGTCAATTTGTATATTTGACCAAATCAGGAAAAGCTCTGCAGGTTATAACATTTTTACAGGCACAAACTGATTCTTATTCCAATTTGGAGTTATATTTTGCTGTGAAATTATTCTGACTGTGTCCTTCAAAGCCAGTTGCATACCATATTACTCTTTTCTGCTTGTTTTTTCCTTAAACTCTTTCATGACAGTCACTGCTTTTTGCATTGCCACATTCCTGTCATTGTCATAGATGATCCCCTTCTGAAGGTTTTCAAACTCAGCTGTGAGTGTTCCTGCCAGTTGAATATATTTTCATTTGAAAACCATCTGTGCCCATCTAGCATTTGGCCTGGAAATCTGAATACAATGAGTATTTGTTCATGCCAAGTTGCAAGTCAGTTATAATATTTCAAATTGTACAAGTCTCTACAGGATCCATCACTAAAAGGGCATGTTATTCTCCCTCTGTCTGCTGTCTCTCTCTCTCTCTCTCTCTCTCTCTCTCTCTCTCTCTCTCGCTCTCTCTCTCTCTCTCTCAAGTGTGTGTGTGCTAGCATGCACTTAAAATTTACGTTTCTTTTTGAACTATTTTTGAATTTCTAATGAATTCTGACATGCATTAATATTTGACATACCCATTTTCTGAAGGTATCACTGTGTCTAGTATATAACCCCACCACCAAGAATCCATTCTTTCTTCCCGTCAAATAGGGTACTAAAATTTGGACAACCATAGAGTATGTTATTACATTTTAAAATATCTCTTTTAAGTTTGTATCATTTTGCAATTAAAGCTTTTGTCAATAAATTATAGAAACCGTGCATGCAAGTTTCAGAAAGCACCTTACAATGTAGTTTGCTCTACCAACTCGAATCCCCACCCTTTCAGCTATCTGAAAGGGAATAACTGCTCTCTTGGGCTGCTAAATACTTTCAGAAAGAAAGTCATATACAGAGAAACAATGAGATGGAAGAATTCTGGAGTCCTGAAGGAAAAATCACTGAGTCTACTCCACACCCCACTCTAAATGCCTTTTATCTGAGAAAATAGCTACCCTTTTCTCTACATTGCATTATTTTGCTGTTTTGTTTTGATAACTATAACCAGATTTAATTCCTAAGCCTAATCTCTACATAGAGTTTATCAGTCCAGTACCTCCCAGAAAAACATCAGAGAACTTATAACGGTATCCTAAGACCCTTGGGTTGAAATCTATTCTACTGCTATGCAAAATGTTTTGCTTGGACCAATAAGAACCCATAATCTGTTTATGGTACATTACAAGATAACTACAGAATTTGAGAGTGATCATTTGAGTGCTTTCATAACCATTCACGTGCCCAACTCATCTCATTAAAACAGCACAGGTCTTGTCATGTTGCCCCAGCAAATCCCATGAGCCAGCTGTCCACAAGTCCTTCACAAAGGATTCATGAAGGGAACCCTTAGGAACACTTTTTTATCTATCCCACCAAACTTAAGTGAGAAAGTATAAATATAAGCACAAAATGTTGCATTCTTACAAGTCTTAATTTTAATTATTTCTGTTTTAAATCTATTTTAGCATCATTAGCTATATTAGAGAACAGAAATTTTCATTCCTATTTGAAGATAGAAAGAAACTTCACTGAACAATTTTATTAATAGAAGACAAACCTACCCCAATGGCAACATAATGTGAACTAAATAAAACAAAGAAATGAAAACCAAAATGCTGCATGAGTTTCACTTCGAATTATGATCGTTTGTGTAGCAATTTCCTTATCATAGCTGTAACTGATGCTAAAATTACTGTCTGTTATTTGAAGAGATGTGTTGGCTAGTAAATCAATGAAACTATAAAAGTCCTAAAAGTATTGATCTCAAGATAAATCAAAACCAAGAGAATGATTTTCAAAAAAATATATTTAATTTAAAAGCCATGAAAATCAATAAATAAGTTTCTTGTAAAATAGCACATTGAATGGCTAAGTTTAAAGACTCAAATGCATTTGATGAAATATTAATGATATACCACATTGAAGACATTTACATAAAAATAGAGACTCTCACAATCTTGCCCTTTTCCAGTGACTCCAGAGAACAACGTTATACAGGCGGCTCTGAAAACAATTAGGGCTAATACGGTGGTCTGCATCTTACAGCTCAAGTGGTAAAGGGTTGAGTGCCAGCCTGTGGTGCTACTGGGAAATAGTGGAAACTTTGGGAGGTGAATCTGAGTGGGAAGAAGTTGAGCTACTATTGGTATGCATCTAAGGCAGGTATTAGATAGATCCCTGCACCCTTCTCTATTGTTTGACTCTGCCACAAACTTCCCTGATATGCTTTGCAAAGGTTCGAAAAGAAGATGCCAAGTAACTATGAACTGAAACCTCTTAAGTAGTGAACCAAAATAAAACCTTCCTTTTATATTGATTTTCTGAGATATTTTGTCACAGTGACAGAATGCTAACACAGAAAAAAAATTTTTATTGCAATTGAACAGATTTACAAACATTGCTAAAATGGCAATCTCTCCAGTATATGTGCAATTTGAAATTATTTTATTATAAATAGTTGTCTACATTGCATTTTTTAAAACACATGCAGCTCTAAATCACACAGAATGGGTAATCCAGTCAGGACCTCTTCTGTCTCTCTCAGACAGATGATTTGTTTCTTTCAATAAATATATTCTACTCTTAAAAAATAAACCATACAGAAGCATAAGTCAATAAATATGATTTGGAGATTAAACTTTACAACAGTTGTAAATAACAGAAAAAGTTCTGAAGTAGCTGCAGCACAATGTAAATTAATGCACTGAATCGTAACAAGACAAAAGTGTTAGATGACCTGCAAATTGTGGTTAGTGTACATTGTAAGTTGCATCGAACTCAATGTATTAAATTTGAGATGACTTTTTATTTTCAATTACATGGAAGTAGATCACAAACAACTATGAGACACAACAGTTATTGAGGAGATGGGTTATTTTATTATGATGTGAAGTACTGAACAAGCTTTTTGACTTCTACAAGACAAGAAGGAGCCTCAGCATTTAAAAGATATGAGTTGTACAGTCTGTCATGCTTAACTGTTTAGTAACTTTGATATGTTAAAGAGCTCCATATTTCCACACAGATAAGGAATGTGATGGATTTCCAATGACTGATAAAAACAAGAGGTAATACTTAGAATCTTACAGAGACAGATATTTCAGTGTTGATAGCCCTATCATTTAACGGTAGTTAATAACAGTTGGATAAAAATGAAATTACACATCTATAAGAACATTACACTAAAAAAGAATGTCACATGTACCTTAAAATAGTTTTAGAATGTTCTGAATTTAATTTTCAATAAGAATGCTTCTTAAATAGGTATATTTTCTTACATAAGATTCAATTTTCTTTTATTAAAAGTTTCACTTTATTTTTAAATACATTTTATTTTTTATTGGAGTATATTTGCAACATATAATGATTACATTCTTCATGGAGAACTGGAAACATGTAACAGTACATAATACATCTTAATTCTTTTTATCCCTCTTTCCCTTATGCTCTCTCCTCCCTCCATTTCTTAATTCCCTTCCCTTTTGCAAATTGCTAATTGCTTTTATTTTTTATTTTGCTCTTTATTCATATTTTAGGCTTATTCATAAAAGAAAAAGCAACCAGATAATATTTAAGCTTGTGTGTCTGATTTATTTCACTTAACGTTATGCTACCCAGGTGCATCCATTTTCCTACAAATACAAGATTTTATTTTTCTTTGTGGCAGAGTATTACTCCATTGCATATAAATACCATATTTTATTTATTGATTCATTTGTTGATGGACATATAGGTGCCTTCCAAGATTTAGCTATTATGAGTTGTGCTGTTATACATGGATATGCATGTATTCCTGTAATATGCTGTCTTTAACTGTCTCAGGAACATAC